AGAACTGTGCTGTATATTTCTGATCTTTTCTCCACTACCAATTGCCAATTTGATCCAGCCAGTGCTCCATACATGGAACTCCCATTTGCTCTTCTGGGAATTCTGCACTGTGAACACTTGAAGGTTCAGCTCCTATATTTTATATCAAAAAGGATAAATTCAAATAAATATGTACAAACATTTCAATATCTTTGTGAGGTAGTTGAAGCCACTCAGTCCTATGCAATGTGAACTGGCAAGATAATTAACCACAGAACAGCAATGCCAAAGTACCCTATTCATAGCGCTGCTACTGAGCACACTACGTAATTTTTCCCTGCAATAATGAGGTAATGTGATGGCAGTTCCTCAAGCTGTTGAACAGTTGAGCTAAATACTAGCTTCTATTTTGAGTTAACAGTAAATTACCAGTGAAAGCACTGTATCTCTAGCTGAATGATCAGATAATGATCCCTAATTTGCTAGACTTAGTCATTTATATATTATATTATATTATATTATATTATATTATATTATATTATATTATATTATAACACCTCTACATTGGCTCCCATTCTCTACTGGGTCAAGATCAACTTGGTACAGGAAAAAGTGGGGATCATCAGAAAGGTGGCTTTGAACTGCACTGGCCCTGGAGCTAGCCCCAGCATAGTTTAGAGTAGCTTAAAAGGATTATACTGATGTTCAAGGGACCATATGCCAACTGGAGATTGCTGAAGTGTGACACACCCCTAAAATGAGAGCGGCAGGGAAGCTGGTATAGGAGCCAGCGAGCCATTGCTACATCTCCTGGAGGCTTCATTACACCAGGAGAATCAACAGCCGTGGAGATACTGGTGGCTTTCCACACCAATTGTGCTGCAGGAATGATGCAAAGGGAATGGAGCTGGGCCAAACAATCTGGTCCATTATATTTAAACAACTCTGTTTCAGCATGAATACAAGCAGTCTGCTGATCTCAATAATTTAAAACTATTGGGATGTGGATCATACTTGAATAAAAATAGACACCAAACAAACCAAATACTAACTAAGCTAAATATTATAATTAAACCTCTACACCGTACATTGTCATGGACCAAGCCATAAAGAGATGTCTGCTTATCTAAGAGCTTTCAGAAGACACAATACAGGAAAAAACTGTTGTACATATGAAGTCTATCAAATCTTCACTAGACACCTGGAGTCTCACTAGACACTTGGAGTGGGGTTTTCAAAAGCACTCAACACTGGCCTAACTTTGCTCCCATTGTATATAATGAATGTTTTATCATTTACTTCAGTGGGGGCATAGTTAGTCCTATGTTAAGCACTTTTGAAAATCCCACCTTTTAAGGTCAATGGGAGTTTTACTACTATGGACTAGCAGCCTAGGCCTTTTCTCCTTTCTCACATAGGATCTGATCCAGCTCCCACTGAAGTTGAGCCGCTATCCCCGAGCTTACAAGCTGCATATGAAACATTCCATTATCAAATTAATGGAACTAAAGTGACAAAATACCTTGTCACTACAGGTAAGAATTAACAAAGGAATATAAATGCATTCATCTGTGCAGGGAAGTTCCAATAGCACAGACCTACTAAAAAAATACATACCATCCATTCACTACATTACCATTTTGCTACGAGATAATTTCATTCATCTTTCTGCTAAATAAGCAAGAAAAAGGTTATCATATATACAAACACACATTTCTATGGCAACAGATTAAGTTCTAGGCTATTCTTAGCTTCACAGCAGGCAGAAAATACTCTGTTTTAAGCTATAGGACTAAACAAGAAATCTATGTCTTTTTCCCTCTTTTTCCATCTGGTCTTGCTGAAATCTCTTTTATTTTGATGAATTGAAGAGTGAGTCAACTGGAAGCAACATACGTCACATACCACATATGACTTCTAGAGTTAAACAGCTCTTCTAAAAGTTAGGAAACAAGAATCTATGCAATAATTATAAACTAACAACATTGTGGTACCATTTATATTATGTATGTGTCTTATATAATAACTACACCTCTACCCCGATATAACGTTGTCCTCGGGAGCCAAAAAATCTTACCGTGTTATAGGTGAAACCGCGTTATATTGAACTTGCTTTGATCCGCCGGAGTGTGCAGCCCTACCCCCCTGGAGTGCTGCTTTACCGCGTTATATCCGAATTCATGTTATATCGGGCTGTGTTATATCAGGGTAGAGGTTTATCATCAAGGAAGTTTTACTTTATCAAAATGAATAAAACATTTGATGATTTTTAATCATATATGTGAGCTATGTATAGTCATTTAATATACCTGTGCATCAGCTATTTTATATTATTATTTCTGTACATTTATACATTTTTAAAAAGCACTTTGGCGGTCTTCATTATATATTGGTAAATAGCCAATTCATTAAAAAAATCTACAATTCTTAAATTGGCACCAATACATTAATCTCAGTTTGGGGTTAAACGCTTTACCCTTTTAAAATGTAAGGGCTTGAACGTTAATTGAAAGATTTCTTTGCCTTTAAGATTTTCTGACTGAATCTGAGTGAAACTATTTGGAAGGTAACAAGATACCACTGATTCTAGGACAACCCCACATTATGCAGGAAGGCCTGCTGTATCCTCTGTTAACTGAAGTTGATGGTGTTCTAAGGAGGCCTTAAGAACTCACATTTAAACACCTTTTAACCTTTTTTTAATAAACGGGGAGGAGTAAATCCGAACTACTCTAGTGAGTCATCATTTTGTCTAACACAGAATGTTCTGGCAGAACAATCTCTATAGCAAAGGAGAAGTCATCAGACATAGTGAAGGTCCCTGAAGTAATGGTTTGTATGAAGAAAAAATATTTTATTATCAAAACTTTGTACAAACCAACTTCAATGAAACATCCAGACATGTTGTAGGAGGCTACTCATCTTTCCATAACCAGGATCATGGGTCTAGATTAGAAGAACAGTCTACCATGCTTCAGACGTGCTAGAATAGTGGTGAGGCTTCTACCATGGTGTAAAATGGGTATCAGGCTATCAGCTGCACTGTGTATGGGTGTATACGTGTGCCTGTTTTCCCACCACATATCCCAAAGGTGGACATTTTCTACAAAGCATACCGAATCAGTATTTGAAGTTTAGCTAGTACCTTTCGGTGTTTTACTCTTTAAAGGGATTCTCTGCCTGGAGAAAGCCAGAAGCAACTTGACTGATTTTTTTCATATCTCCACTGGGACTCCAGCTTTGAGATGCAATTGGTTTGCCGCGGCTTTCTACCTTTACATATACCATCTAGTTAAAGGGCCCTGCCTGACATGAGGACGGAATCAAAGGAGATCGGTTTGCAGTTGGACAGCATCACCTACGTGTAATTAGTTCAAGTATTAATATTAAAAGGTGCAGCAACTGGGGCTGAGGATGGGAAATTCCCTTCGCTAATTAGTTTCCCCATTCCCGGCAGATATTCCAGCCGAACTGCCAGCAGCAGACAGGACTGCCAGTCACTGGGGCTGCGTATGGGTTTGAAATGCTGACCAGTGAAATCTGGACTTGGCTTAATGAAACCGATGTATGCAGAGTCAATTAAATCTAATTTCCATTAACACTCCTAATATATCTGCAGTGTGTGCAGCAGCAGCAGCAGCGAGAGATGCTCGGTATTAATAAAGGTATTCACTGACTCAATAAAAAACAAAACAGAAAAGAAGAAGTGCTGCGTGATATTTTTACATCGGGGATAGTGAGGTGATGGGGAAGAGAGAGAGCGAAGGATACTCAGCATTGAAAGCAGAATATTGCCCCATAAACCAAATAACCCACTTGCAAAAACTGGTGCTGGAAAAATGGTAAGGACCCGGAGTTGAAAACATTTTCACTTTAATACTGAAAAAATATGCCATTATAAAATCCTCGAATATAATTAGTAAGTTTCACTTGCTTCCTCAGTTCTGATTTCCTCAAGTTATAGTAAGATTTACAACAGCACAGAATTGTCTACCATTAAACTTCGCAGCCTAAGCACTAGAGTGACATTAATTGGTCATGCTTAACTGCCTCGGATTTTTTTGTTTTTGTTTGAATGTTTACACGGTTACCATAATAGAAATCAAGGGTACTAAATTTTACATTCAGATGGAAAGGCATTGTTGGATATGTATATTTAAAAAGAAAAAGCGGTAACCGAACCAAAAAGAAAACTTCACCCAACAAAGTAAATCCCCACCCTCAAATCAGAAAATGAACCAATGAGAATATCCATGCAAATATGTCTTAAATAAAATCTTTACATTGTTCGTTTCCACAGTAAAAGTACGATCTCTATCTACTGCCTATCGATCACACAAAATATGGCGAAATGGCACTTTTTTATTATTATACTGTATTTTGTATATAGAAAGTTTGATACGATGGGACTTATCAGGTAAGAGGGATGGTGGTGTGAACTAGACGCTGTTTCCAGTTGGGTGCTGGAGGAGCGTCCTTAGGGTGCGTTGTATCCATGCGAGCCATGCAGCACTTTTGTTGTTTGTTTGTTTTAATCAGTCGTTTATTTACATTACATTCATGCCTTCGTGCAACGTTTCACTCCTGCTTTGTTATCAAGGGGAGGAGGCCACCGTCCAGGTTCCCTCCCTCCCCCACCGCCGCCCATCCACACGGGGCTAATCCACAAAACAATGGTACCCCTGCAAGATTTTAACCAAGTTGAACCTTGCTTTCCATTGCAAACTAAGGTAATACACAGTCAGATGCACGAAGCACCGCCTCAGTGTCGCTATACTTAAAGGGTCCGTTGAAAAAACCGGCCTTCACTCACTGAAATACGCCACAGTTTTTGCTTTGTGTGTGTGTGTGTTATTTTCACAGAAGGTAGTTTGGGTTAAGAACCGTCCCTTGTCGTTATTTAGCAGTGACGTTAGCAGACGAGACAGCAATGCACAGATCAGGGATTCTTTAATCACTGGGTTGCTCGCTGCAAAATTGAATTGGCTTCCTACTTTCCCCCCCCTGTCCGACTCCAGTTCTTAGTCTGATAGAGAATGAGAGCCACAGTCATAAACTCTATGGGCTCCATCTGCATTGTAGGGTCCGTTGTGCCAGTAAGAAGAATCGCAGACTGTCTGTAAGGAATTGATTTCAGATGCAGATGAGTTGGCGTCCCTCCGCTTAGAGCGCTTTCTGTTCCTCAGGATAAACACTAGCATGCCAACTACTGTGAAGGCGGAGGTGACAAAAACCAGCAGGAGTCCTGGGACCAGCACCGAAATGGAGACCCGGCTGGTCTCTAGGTAGGAGTTGGCGTGAGTCCCTGTCTCTGCCAACCCGGTGCTGTTTTTGTTATTGGAAGTGAAGGTGGGCGATATTTTGAGCTGCGGGCAAATCACGTCGTTGGCAAGGGACTCGAAATCCTCCTTAAAGAAATCCTCTGGGGATTCACACCTCAGATCGCTCATGACCACCTTGGGGCGCAGCATCTCTGCCCACTGTTTGAAAGGCACAATCGGGCACGAACAGTCCCACGGGTTGCCATGCAGATCGATCTGGGTGATGGACGTGAGCTGGTCCAATACCCCCGCCACCGGGAGATACATGAAATAGTTATTGTGTATACTCAGCTTGGAAAGCGAGACCCCAGCGAACACATCCACGGGGAGGGACCTCAGCAGGTTGTTGTTGAGGATTAGGACTCGGAGCTTGGGCATTGCATTGAAGGTGCCGGGCTGAATCAACTGGATCTCATTAAACTCCACATTCAGATACTCTAGGTTCTGCAGCCCGGTGAATTTCTCGCGGGACAAAGTGTCCAAGTAGTTGCTATCCATGTACAGCCACCTGAGCTCGAAGAGATTCTTGAAGGTGTTGTTCTCCACAGTAGCGATGTTGTTGTTCCCCAGATCCAATAGGTTAAGTTTCCGGTAATCCAGAAAGTGGGATTTCCTGATTGTATGTATTTTGTTGTCTCTCAGAAACAGCTCCTGCACATTGGACGGCTTGGGTTTCAAAGCTACCAAACTGCTCACATTTCTTTCGTTGCAATTAACCTTTAAACCCGAGCCAGGGATCTGATCGCAGCTACAGATCTCCGGACAGGGCATGCTAGTCGGTAGCTTGTTTTTCACGCTAATTGTCGAGCCCGCAGCAGTGGGTCGGGTCTTGATTTGCCAGTTGACTGGGATCTTTGTACCTCCGTTTGGAGCAGATCCGGGAGTGGCAGGATCTTCTATGCCATGTATTTTAAAGGGGGTTGGAATGGGACCAGGATCACAGGTTTCCTCTTCGGCAGGGGGAGCAGCTAGACTAGAATCCACTCTGTTTTTCCTGCACAGCTCTTGCTCTGTGGTCTCATTCAAATCTTTGCCCTGCAACCTAGTAGGAGCTTCACAAATGACTCTGCCGATCAAAGCATTTTTGGGTATATTTTCCAGCCACTCCTTCAGGGATAGCAGATCACAAGTGCAGTCCCAGGGGTTATCTTCCAGCAGAATTTCAGCAATGCCTGGGATCTGCTCCAGGACCTCCTCATAAGGCAAGGTTTTAAGTCGGTTTCCCCGGAGGTCGAGGTGGGTGATCGGCACATACTGAAACACGTTGGCAGGTAAGGTGCTGATGAGGTTGTCATTTAAAATCAGCACCTCCAGCTTGTTTAAATCCCTAAATGCTCCCGGGTCAATATCCCTTAATAAATTAAAATCTGCCTGGAGATATTCCAGATCGTCCAGCCCCAGGAAAGTCTGTTTCCTGAACGATTTTATCTTATTGTTGTTTATATGCAAACGTTTTACCAGCTGCAGCCCTAGAAAAGCCCCAGGGACAATTTCATGCAAACCGTTGTTTTCCATGTGCAAACTGACTGCATTGTAAAAGTTAGCAAACTCATTAGGGAAAAGTCGAGTCAGGGAATTTCCATGCAGGAATAAATGGTAAAACTGGGAAGTTGGGGCGCTGAAATGTTGCAGGCTGGTAAACCCTTTTTTTTCACAGTCTACGTGCAAATCCCCTTCTATCTCGTTGCAGGAACAGATCTTCTCTTTGCAAACGTCCCCTGTAACGTTTCCAGCAGCAAAACAAAGAGACGTCTCCAGCAACAGAATCCAAAGCAGCATTTTTAAACCGAACAATTCATCCCCGATGTCATCACAAAGTAACAGCAACCATCATCCTCACACCGAAAACAATTCCAGTTCATTCGAGAGAGGAGATGTCCGAACCACCACCAAAGGGGGGGGGGACGTGTGGGGGGTAGGGAGGCTGGGGTGGGGAGCGATTTCTTTTCTCCTTTATCCCTTTCTCTTCCCCCCCACATACACTGCAACAGCCCAGTCACCAGTCAATAATTATATCCACAAACTATCCAGGCACGTACTGCAAGGCACGCAAAAAAAAAAAAAGAAAAAAAAAAAGAAAGAAAAAAGAAAAAGAAAAAGTAGAAAAAATCCCCCTCCTCAACCCCTCCTGAAACCTCCCGAAAAAGCTAAGTAGATCTCTGTTGGCCGGTTTCGCTAATTGGAACAGGAATAATGCTAGCAATTATAAGCAGCCACTGCATATTAGAGAGAAGCAGGCAGGGAGTGCAGCGGTGGTAGAGAAGAGCTGCCTGTGTGCATGGCTTTGCTTCGGACTGACCTTGCTTTTCTGTTGCAAAGCCGGGCTCCTTGCTGCTGCTGCCGCTGCTCGGTGCCCAGGAGTCCCCTTCTGGGTGCTGTCCAGTCCCCCTTGGTGCTGAAATCACGCCCCAGCCTGAGGACCGGATGCCGAACCAATGGCGCTGCAAAAATTCTGCAATCGCTGCGTTTTTTGGCTGTCCATTTCTCCTCTCCTCCGATCCCTTCTTCTTCTGCTCTCCTCTCGCTCTGTCAGTCTCTCTCTCTCCCTCCTCTCTCTTCCCTCCTCGGTCTCTCTTCTTTCCCTTTTCTTCTTCTTCTGTTTCTGAGTTGCACACACACACACGGAGGGAGAGTTGCTAAGAGGCGCTGCTCGTTCCAACCTGGTGCACTCTCAAAGATCTGACACCCTCTGCTGAGCTGCAGTGGCAAAAATCCATCTGCTGAGGGAATGCTGGAGAAAAAAAAAAATCAATCCACGTACAGGGCAAGCGTTAAAAATGTTGGCATTAAAGCTGTCGATCTATTTAGACGCTTTCCCCTAAACTGATTATTTAATTTCTTTCTTTCTTCCTCCTGAGATGGAAAGTTTAACACTCCCCTTCTAGCCCCCCCCCCCATACACACACACAGACACACACACACACACACACACACCTGCTCTAGCAACCGGGAAGAGCGCTTTCGTCCTATTTTGTGTCCCAATGGCTTGAATAAAATTAGTGTCAGGGAGTCAAGCGAATAGCAATTTGAGGTAATTATACTCCACGCCATTTTTAACGTTGATTTTAAATGCATCTCTTCCTCCCCTGCAGTCTATAGCGTTTCATGCTGGATTTGGTGGTTTTATGGAGTTCCCTTTGGAATGTTGAACCGCGGATGATTGTGTTCTATTTTTTTTTATTATTATTTAGATGATCACAGAGAAGGGGCTGGCGGTGGGGGGGAGAGGGGGGTGATTTGCCGCACAGTAGATAATTCATTCTACTTGTTTCTGGAGGTTATCGAATTTCCTTTAAGAGGGGGGTTGAAATCGACAGCACTGGATCTTATTTTTCTTCTTCCACGTCTTTTAGGGTTGCTATTTAAGTTCTCTGTGCAAATGCAATGCCTTCTTACCTTTTTGATTTCTGACAAAATAGATTACCCAGCGGGAAATTTGTTGTCTGGTGTAAAAAAAAAAAGTTTCAGCATCATTTGGACGGGTTTCAGATGCCTACAAGCAAATAACCAGTTGCATCTCGGGTGGCGCAAACATAAACCCTTGTTCCCAAATGCTTTGCAAAAGTGTGCGGAGGAGGTTGTATGCGAGTGCTACAGAGCCTGATTCGCTAGGTCCCTTCTGCGTCTACAGTCAGTCCTGAGCTTGCACCTCTTCAGTCGGACAGATGCGCTGACTCCATTCGTGAACTTTGCAATGTACTGGTAGGGCACAGAATGTAACATCTACTGAGGGTGGAAGGGGGGTGGGTGGGTTTAAGGTCTATTTATAGGAAAAGTCAGGAAGCCAGATGGAATCTGCACCCAGTCATCCTTGTTGCATGCTAATTTGGTCCCAGGGTTTCCCGGTCTGCAATTTCCGACTAAATTAGACAACCTACCACCGATGATCAGATCAAATTAATTTAATTAGATCATAAATAAGTTGCAACAGCTGCTGTGGCCATTTCGGATTTTCCGGGTAGAGATTTAGCCATATATATATGAAAGGCTAAATCTCCATATATATGGGTGGATGGACGAGAAGGGGAGGGAAGGAGGGAGAGAGGAAGGAAAAGAAACTGACAAAAAATGACTGGCCCAGACGAAGACTGGACAATAAATAACAAGCGGGGCGAGGGAAATAAAATGCTATTGAGACAACAAGCATCAGAAGCAATATATTAGTAGATTCGAGGGGTGGGGGGGGGGAGAGGGAAAGGAGGCTTGGCGCCACATTAAGGCTCATTAATTCATTTCTCATGGCAGTTACTCTGACTTTGTCTCTGTGTGCATGTCCGGGGGGTTTAGTCAGATTGGAACTGGAACCCTTCTCCTGAGGAAAAAGACCCTGCAGCTTTGGAGAGGTGCAGGAGGAGTCGGAGGGAGGAAAGCCTGTAGGAAACCCCTGGAACAGAGCAAAGAGAAAGGAGTTTGGGGGAGGGGAGGGAAACAGGGAAGGTTCCCAGTGTCAAACCAGAAGGGCGACCCCATTACCATGAGTAATGACATGGGCAAGGGGGTCTCTGAAATTGACGAGCATGGTGAATTCAGACTGTGACGCGGGCCAGGAGACAAAAGAGCATCTTCCCCAGTTTAAAAAAAGCCTCTTTAGCAACCTCTCCTTAGTGTTGTTAAAATTGCTCAGGCACCGAAGAAACAATCACAATGCAACAAGAGGAGCTGAATATTAATAAGATAGTAAATAAATAAATATGGATCAAATGAGAAGGAGGTGATAATGACCTGCTCTCAAGGCATGAAGGACAAAGTGCCAGGCTCTTCTCCCGGAGCTTCTCAGAAGTGGGAGTTAATGGCAGCTGTCGGGATCCTCTAACTGAAGAGGAAGAAGGGTGTGGAGGGGCATTTGTGAACAGATGTAAATTTATGGCGGCACCTGAGAGAGAGGTTCCATTGTGCTGCGAGCAGTATATACACACACTAACTCTGGGCCTTGCCACCTAAAGAGGCAAGACAGACAAAGGGTGGGAGAAAGCAAACAGACATATCCATTTGACAGATGGCACAGAGAATGTGATTTGCCAGTAGTCACACAGGAAGTTTATGGCAGAGGCAGGAAATGAAGACATATTTCTTGAGTGCTTTAATGCCAAAGCTATCCTTCTTCTCCCATATATATTTTATTATTATTACAATTCTTCATTTGTATATCTGGGCTGTTGTGTCATCATCTTTTATTATGTTAATTTAGCCTCAGTGGAAACATGCATATTCTAAAAAGGGCCCTATGTAAATTCCCACCAAAAGCTAGAATAGTCTAGGATATACCTGGTGCTGTGAGTGTGCAGCATGTGCTCACACTTTTATTCAAATTATTTTAATATATTAACATTTTAATAAGCAATGGACTTACAGTAAAGCTGGATTTTCAAAATCTTAAATCCTAGGCAACTGTGGCCAATTTCTGCATGTCATACCCATGTTAAATAACACTGGTTTAAACACATAGTAATAGGGCTACGCAGTATGACAAAAGTGCAGAATCATGGCTTCAGTTTTAAGCAACAGAGAGTCCTGTGGCACCTTTAAGACTAACAGATGTCATTACATGTGTCTGACGAAGTGGGTATTCACCCACGAAAGCTTATGCTCGGTGCCACAGGACTCTGTTGCTTTTTACAGATCCAGACTAACACAGCTACCCCTCTGATACTTGGCTTCAGTTTTAAATCAGTACTACTCAGGTATACACCAGGGTGGTGGTGTTAGGAGGAGTGGGTTGCACTGCTGTAGCTACACACATATAGGTATGCTAGTGCAACTCCTAGTGTAGATGCACTGCACTTGTGTATAGAGTGCACTGTACCAGTGCCACTAAACCTGGATAAATGACACTGGTGGCAAATCACTTTTTACATCAGTACAGTGTGGTTTTACTCTGATGCAGCTATGTTGGTGTAGCTACAAGCCTGTCAAATAAAACCTTTCAGCTTGTAGTGTCATAATAAACCACAAAAGGTGTAGAGGAGGCAAAGCCATGGTCCTGAGCCATCATGTCTGACCTGAGGTCTTCTCCTATTGACATAGCTACTGCCTCTCAGGGAATTGGATTTCCTAGGCTGATGGGAGAAACTCTCCCATTGGCATGGGTATAGAATCATAGAAGATTAGGGTTGGAAGAGACCTCAGGAGGTCATCTAGTCCAACCCTCTGCTCAAAGCAGGACCAACCCCAACTAAATCAACCCAGCCAGGGCTTTGTCAAGCTGGACTTTAAAAACCTCTTAAGGATGGAGATTCCACCACCTCCCTAGGTAACCCATTCCAGTGCTTCACCACCTTCCTAGTCAAATAGTGTTTCCTAACATCTAACCTAGACCTCCCCCACTGCAACTTGAAACCATTTCTCCTTGTTCTGCCACCACTGAGAACAGCCTAGCTCCATCCTCTTTGGAACCGCCCTTCAGGTAGTTGAAGGCTGCTATCAAATCCCCCCCTCACTCTTTTCTTCTACAGACTAAATAACCCCAGTTCCCTCAGCCTCTCCTCATAAGTCATGTCCCCAGCCCCCTAATCATTTTTGTTGTCCTCTGCTGGACTCTCTCCAATTTGTCCACATCCTTTCTGTAGTGGGGGCCCCCAAACTGGACACAATACTCCACATGTGGCCTCATGAGTGTTGAATAGAGCGGAATAATCACTTTCCTCAATCTGCTGGCAATGCTCCTACTAATACAGCCCAATATGTCATTAGCCTTCTTGGCTACAAGGGCACACTGTTGACTCATACCCAGATTCTCATCCACTGTAATCCTCAAATCCTTTTCTGTAGAACTGCTATTT